GGATTTTTACCGTGCAGTCATCCCAACATGGTGTTTGGAGGCACGCTTTGAGGAATTGGAGAGGTTGATAGAAGTCTTGTTGGTTAATCCTACACGATGCACTATCGGTCTACATTTAGCTGGACGTAGAATTTCGCACGTAGTACGGCTCCATTTGGTTCTCTACGGAGCAGTACGGGAACGTGGCGGTCTCGGTGTCCGGGTTGAACAGGTTCTTACCGGCGTAGATCATCACGTAGCAGCCCACGATGCTGCAGATGATGATAACCAGGATGGCCACGATACGCTCGTACGCGGGTAGTTCCTTCCAGAACACCTTGAGGTAGAACGTAATAGGTAGAGCGAGACAACACACCGTAATAGCGGAGGCACCCGTGAAGTCCACGAGGTCGAGGAACTTGTCGCGGAGGCCGATAGACACCGCAACGAGCACTGCAATGATGCACAGACGCAGCGTCACGTAACGAAGCACCGTACCGGCGCCCTGGTACTCTGAGAGTTCCTCTTCCTCCTTCTCCTTCCGCTGTTGTTCGGCCGTCAGTGTGACGCCCGGAGTGTTGGAGACGTTGTATTCAAGGTCCGGCGTCGACAGGTCGGCGACGGTCGACAGCTTCTCGATCTCTGTGGTAGTCTTGTGCATGCCGAGGATGAAGCGTTCGGCCATGTAGAACGGCGGCTGGATGACCGTCGAGAAGGCGATGACGATGTGGACCTGCATGAACAGGTAGGCCATGATCACCGCGCCTCGGTTGGGGATAAAACCCAGCGCAGACGCGGTCGTTGGGTCCGCGATGTTCACAACGGAGAACAGCAGGTTACCTGAGAGCTGGCAGCCACCAGCAGCGTAACCGGCAATGGCAATGGCCAGGAAGAACGCCGAACCAGCACCCAGACTCACGAGGATGATACGGGGCATGCGGGTGGGCTCGGAGTGCTGACGTTGAAGATCGGGCACGACGACGGACGCGCCGTACGCCAGCGACAGGTTGCCGAACGTCGTGAGCACCTGGTGCAGCGTGATGTCCGGTGTCGGAATGGACGGGTGACCACGCATCTCCCACTCAAGGATACTCACGCCGATAATGTCAGCGATAAGCGTACCGAGACAGCCGACGAACGCGACGGACGCCGCCTCCTTCAGGGTCGGGATCAAGCACGACGGCACCACGGTGAGGGCCATGAAAACGATCCAGAAGATCTGGCTGAACGAGTCAGGGAACAGCACGTCAAGCAGCGAACTGCCAAGCACCAGGAAGGCGCACGGCAGCAGCAAACACACGAGCAGCTGGGACACGATCACGAGGTAGCGGCCGGTCTTGCCGAACACCCAGTCGCCGACGTCCGTGAAGGTCTTGACCGACTTGGGTGCCACCAGCATGACTCTGGACAGAGCGATGGTCGCGTATATGTTGGCAAACGCCATTAGGAGCATCGCTATGGTGCCGTACACGGGTCCGGCACGGGCGAAGTTGGACGGCATGGATAGCGTACCGATACCGAAGAAGCAGCACACGATGTTGAAAATGGTCTTGGCATCTTCCATAGTCAGGAACGCCTTCTGGCGCGACTCGAGCGCCATGGTGATCAGAGCGGTAGGAGCTTTCCAACGCCGGAAGCGGAGACTTGTTGTTCAAACGGATGTTCGAAAGTGGCTGATCCTGCGGTGTTAGATCCCGTCGCTGGTGCAGCTCGAATTTCCTCGTGGACAAGAGCACATCCGGTGGCTGCACGTCGTTGTTGCACTTGGCGAGCTATTCGTCGACATAGCACGTCCCCGTACACCATCCAATCGACCTGATTGCCCCGATTCCAAATGCGCAAGACCATGAGATTTGTACGTGTACATCGTTGAAATTCTAGATGAACTTCGCTCCATGCCTGTTTCGGCGAAGTCACTGACCCCATAGCAAACTCCACGCTTTGAATCGTTATTAGAGCCCGCTAGTTGACTCAACCAGCAGACGCAGCTTGAAGGTGTTGCGCTGCAACATGTGCGCCCCATTGTTTGAGCAGCGCCAGGCTGGTTCAGAAGATACGGAGGTTGCCATCGTCTCAGTCTCGTCTCTGGCTATGCACCGGAACTGTGTACATACTGTCACCACAGTTCGACTGCCTCAACTTCGACTGGAACAACAAGGCCTGCAAAATGGATTGGATTAACTCCAGTAGGCTTATAGACACCTATCATGGCTCTGGCCTAATGCTCTCCTAATTCTCCGATCGCCTGACTTAATGCGACGATCTCCCGTCTTAAGTCGACGATCGCCGGCCATTCACGCCGTTGAGTTACGCACGTAGTACGGCTCGGACTGGTGTTCCGCCGGGCAGTACGGGAACGTGACGCCGTCCGAGTCCGGGTTGAACAGGTTCTTGCCGGCGTCGATCATGACGTAGCAGCCCACGACGGTGCACACGACGATCACCACGACCGCCACCACGCGCTCGTACATGGGCAGATCGCGCCAGAAAACCTTGAGGTAGAACACAAGCGGCAGCACCAGGCAGCACACGGTGATGGCAGACGCGCCCGTGAAATCCACGAGGTCCAGGAAGTGCGAACGGAAGCCGATGGCGGCCCCCACTAGGATCGCCATGATGACGAGACGCAGCGTGACGTAGCGGAACACGTTGGCCGAGCCGCTGTAGTCCGAGAGCTGGGCCTCGTCGTGCTCCTTCTCTTCCTGCTCGCGCTTCGCCGAGTTCGACAGCGTATCGATATCCGAGTCGGCGTTGCTCTCCAGGTCTCTCGCGGCGTGCTCGTTGACGCTGGTCACGGGGCCGTTCGTCGACAGCTTGTCGCGCAGCTCCTCCCATCCGTCGTTCTC